CCAGCCCCCTTTTGGCAGCTAACTTCAAAGGGGTAGAAAGATTGGGCACAGGCTGAAGCAGACCTGGGTCCTCTCCTTAGCCCTGCCCCAAGCCATACATCAGGTCCAGCCCAGACCCTGGCCCTACCTGTCACAGCACAGATAGGCCAGGTGGGCCAACCCTGCCCTGGTGGGACCACCTATACTAGGACTGGAATTTAAAAGGGTGGCAGAGCCAGGTGGGCATTCTGCCAGTCAGACATAATGGGAGCACCAAGGTGGTGGCTCCTGCTCAGGGTGGGGTATCTACAGATGTGGGATAAGTCTGAATAGCCTGACCTGGAGCTAGGGGTCCCTGAGGCATGAGGTGGGCTTTTCTCTGCCACCCTTCTGGCTTATACTGTCAAAGCCCCTTTCCCAGGCTCCCCATGGCCTCCTCCATCCAGGCTCCTGCCTTCCCTCCTAGCTCCCTTAAAGACTTCTTGTTCTGTAGCCCCCTCTCCCCACCCGCCTGCCTGGGCTAATACCCCACATCCTCCTCTAGAGGTGAACTCTCAGAGGCAGGGCTGAGTTTAGCTATGCCCAAGAGCACAAAGCTGCAACTCAGCCTGGGCAGCTCCCAACTGCCTGTTCCCCTTCATCTCTGAGCTCCCCCCCACAACACAATGCACCCAATGCTCCCAGCTGGACATCCTTTTCCTCATGGCCAGCCCTCAGCATCCTTCTGAATCAGCTCCTGTGCCCCCTTGCTGTGCCCTATTGTGGGCTCCTGCCTTTGATGGCCCTGCTGGTGGCCCTGTCTTATAAAGATCTACAAGGGTGCAAGTTTGCAGACACCTGACACATAGTAGGTGCTCACATGAGGGGCTTTCAGGCCCTCTTAGGTCAGGGTGGTGGAGATGAGGTCTGTGGACATCTTGTCTGTAGGGGAGAGACCCTCTGCCCTGTCCCTGCTCCTGCTTTGTTCTGGAGACACAAGTGATCGAAGGTGGGGGCACATCAGGGGAGTCTTCTGGGCAGGTTCTGTGGATTGTGCTCTCATTGAGGCTGTTCTCTGCCCACATCAGCCTGGGCTGGACTGCCAGGGGACAGCCTCCTTCAGGAATGTAATCAGACAGATGTCCTTGTGACTGTGAGGAAGGATCCCCAGCTGGACACCCGCCAC